ACTTAGTAGTTAGTTACTTACAGCCAGCTTACCATACTAAAGTCTAAAGTAAGTTAAGTTAAGTATATATAGGTGAGGCAGCCACATGGTCTACCAGTGTCCACAAAACAAACTCATCTAAGCCTAAACCTAAGTCTCAGACTTTCATCACCCCCCTTCATCTAAACCTAAGTCTCATCGCCACCCTTTCATCTTAAGGCTTCCTCAATCTTCATCACCCCCCCTCATCTCAAGAGTCAAGGCTTCCTCATCGCCCCTCGCCTCAGTCGATTCAGTCTGATAGAGAAATGGATGGAAAAGAAGGTTCACGAGAAGGTCTCATCACTGAGATCAAAGCAGGACAACGATCATCTGTTCTTCAATTCCTCTTTGATCTCTTCAGATTCAAGTTTTGAATCTTTCAACACATCGAATTCAACAAAAACTAGTTTCTCTGTTTTGAGGCCCAAACAAATCAAAACTAACATTTCATGTTATAATTATGATCTATTTGATGACTATCATGATAATCAGCAAAAACATGAAGAAAGTTTGATCAAGTCGAAATTGAGAGCTTTAAAGATTTATAACAATTTGAAGTCGGCGAAAAAAGAGCAAACAATCGGTTCTCGTGGAATCGAACCGGAACTGAACCATTATTCACGGTTCAGTTCGGTTTAGTTCCATACATATACGGTTCTAGTTCCGATTTCAATTTTAAGGAACCGTTATGAATGGTTCCGGTTCCGGTTCCGATTCTGGAACCGTTAGGAACCGAATCGTGTGCACCTCTAGAGGTGATACATTCTCATTACTGAGTATATACTCAAGGTTCATATGACAACCCCAAGTCACGCCTACTCAATGTAACCACATCAAATGGATACACACAAAGTTATAGTTAACCCAAAATGTTGTTTTTGGAAGGGATGAGGGTATTTTGGTAATTCAATATTTTGGTATATTTGACATCAACAAATTTAATCATTGGCTTGCGTTGACCGTTAAAAATGGAGGTTTATGTAATAACTCTTCATTTTCAAGGGAGGTCCGAATAATTTCTCAAACCATAGGAGATGTCCGTGTAATTAACCAAACAAACTTTTGGCAAACCTAGCAAGCGGACAATACTTACCTACCCATCGGTGAATAAGTGATATCTACTTAACGTTAATATAGTCCAATCACAGATACACACGCAATCTATAATTACAATACCAAGAAAATAATAAATAAGGAAAACAATTTTTTTTTTTTTTTTTTTTTGAAATAAATTCAGCTACCATCATTTTTTTCTTATTTATTACTTTCTTGATTTTGTAATTACATATTACATGTGTCTTTGTAATTGAACCACATCTAGAGATCACCTGCTCATCAATGAGTAGATAAAAATTATCCCTAGCTCATATCCGCTTTTACCACTTCCATGGTTGAAACTTGAAGTTCAACGTGCTAAGGGTTGTACATAGAAATGTGTTGTAATTGTTTCAAAAAAAAAAAACAAAGGAGAATTGTGTTGTAATTTGTAAAGAGTTGATGCTCAGCATGAGGTCACAAAGGTTAGTGATAGACCTTTAAACCCTTTTAAGCATAGTGGCACTTGATGCTATAGTCTTGAAACGGAGCAACCTAAGATAAATCCTTAATTGTATCCTATTGTCACTTTGAAAAAAGACTATATATAAGACGACATGCCTAGTAAAATACATGTGGGAAAAAAGGGTAGTAGTGCATTGGAGACATTCTCACTAAACATAACGCATTAGAATAATGGGCTCGTTGCTACTAACGAAAACATGATCAAAAAATGAACAACCAATCTTGAAATTGGCATGAAATGTTTAAATATTTGATTAATAACGATTACCCATGTAAAAATCGTGATTAAAAGTGTTGCTGTTAGTTAAATAGTACATGTTAATGTATGCTATTTACGCCTCGTTTTCTTCAACAAATAATATTGTTTATACACTTCCATTTTAATGTTGTTTCGTTCATAACAATCTGATATTAATTAAATTGGTACGTAGGTTTCTAGCTGGTTAAAAGAATGGAACCTAATTCAAGCCAAAAATTATCATTGCACAAACAGATTATAAGAAAAATATGCATTGGATATGCTCAAATGTGATCACTTGTATATTTACACATTCTAGTAATGCTTGCATGCAATTTATTAATTAGTTGACAAATTTGAATTCACGAGATCAATTTTGAAATTTACAAAATTGGATTTGTAAATTGCAAAAGTCGAAAGCGCCAATTCGAATTTAGAACATGAGAGCGTGAAACACCCCTTATACATTACATGAAATTAATCTGTACATATGAACTTTTACTTGCATATACATTGAGACATACCTATTTGCCATCAATTTCTTTGTCAGATATTCCAACGCAGTTGAGGATTGAAGAGAAAGATTAGGGAAGTGCAAATTGACTAATCAAAATTCTTTTCAGTACATTTCTTTTACTAGTATGTCGCATTGCAAATTTTACCACATTTATTTTAAAATTTTACGGTCATTGTTTGTGAAATTTCACTAACATAATGGTAAAATTATACCCGTGAAATTCCACCTTTACAAATATTGGAGTTTTTTTAAGTATTTGTCAATATTTTATTTATTTTTTCAATGACCGACCCATTTATAAAATAAGAATAGTTGCATTTTATTATGAAAATTATCAATCAAAGATTGTAGTGTAGTAATACTTTTTTTGACTTTAAAGATATAATATTCAAGTTCCCTTGTAATTTAACTCGGAATGCAACTACCATAAAATTAATATAATGACATCAACTTGTTAGGCAAACTTGTGAAAAGCCATTAATGTAAATATCAAAACATATATGGGGCTCTTCAATTGAATGTAAAGAACAAATTTGTGTTCATCATGACATCAATGTACATCTACCTATATTGAGTAAACAACACTTACATATACATTGACCTATGTTGTATTTAAGTGTCAATTGCCAGAAAAAAACAGCGGCAAATAATACAACGTCGTGTTATTGATAACTGGTACAAAGAACAAACCTCTGATGCCTTCAACTTTTACGACAAAATTGAAACTTGTACGATGAAATGTTCAGATGGAAATCCAAACATGAAACAACCAACCAACAATAAAAATTAAAAAGTCACGTGGAAAACCAGACCATTGCAGAGCTCAATAATCTACTATAAGATTTTTTTTTTTTTTTTTTTTTTTTTTTTTTTTTTTTGAAGTACAACATTTACCACGTAAAACCAAACTTAATTTACACTCTATAATCGCTGGTATGTTTATTCACCTCAAACTACAAGCCTGCAAATTTTGGTACAAAAACAATGCGTAGCTACAGAGAGAGAGAGAGACACACACATATATCTCTATGTGTATAATTATGTGGGTGCGTATTTGTATATTTTGTGTGCAGCCAAATAAATAGGTACATAGACATCAATCAATTTAAACATATCTACATATCCAAACACAAACATATCTACATATCCAAACACACGCTGGCAAGCACCTATGTGGATTTGTACATATCAATGAATCGCATAAGTAATTGGCCTTATTCATTATATTTTGGGGTTAATTACGTAAAAAAACATGTTGTATTGCATCTTGCTAACTAAATCATTGAAAATGTTAAAAGTAAATGACATGTTCAATAATAGAGGGATAAGTCACGATGCATGGGCATGTTACAAAAACTTATACAGTAGATGTATTTTATTTGGCAAATAACCCTTAAATTGGTGATACATGAATTCCAAATCCATAGCTTCATAAATTGGGCTAAGTAAGTTTACTTGTTTGTCCTGTTATCATTTTCCTTATTTAATGAATCAAACAATGCAAATCTAAATGAAGAGTTGTAATAGAATGTTGAGACTTCCATATCTATGTAGTACAAAAAGAGATAAAAACAAAAAACAAAAAACAAAAAAAAGACCAAAGGACAATGAAATTAGGAATCATAATTCTACAGCCAAATGAGGGTGTGATTTAGCACAATGGTAAAGTTACTCTGTTCTGATTTGAAAGTTACAAGTTCATATAAAAAACAATGCGAAGTAAGATAACTAAACTTCCTAGATCTCCGTAACAAGAGAGTCGTGTGCACAGTACACACCTATGTAACAAGAAAGTTTTGTACGGCAAGTTAATTCTTAATTTCATGAGAATTTATTACATAGTCAGAGATTACATAATTCCGATCAACGACAACCCCGTACACAAATAAATAAAGATAATAAAATTAATATATTTATTTGCGAGTAAGGTTGAAATTGGTTCAGACTATATAGTCCATAACCAGTGACGTAGCCAGGATTTCAAGTGAGGGGACACACTGCCAAACAAAAAAAAAAAAAATATCGAGTACATATATAACAACTATAAAATTCAAAAAGACAAAAAAGAAGAAAATTATAAAAATATAAAATGAAAGAAAAATGAAAGAATTTTAATAAGAAATAGTTAAAAAGTTTCAATTGAGGAAGCAAAATTTGACTTTTTCTAAAAATAAGAATATAATTTTAAGAACTACAAATTTGAGGGGAGTACTATATAAATTTTTTCATATATATGAAATTTTTTAAAAAAATTACCACATATATTATTAGTTGCTGACCAATCCACGTATCCCCAGGTCTTCATTAGCTCCGTCCTTGCCCTAACATACGAATTTCTCTAAAAATTACCACATATATTATTAATTGCTGACCTGACCAATCCACGTACCCCCAAGTCTTCATTAGCTCCGTCCCTGCCCTAACATACGAATTTCTCTAGCTCTACAATGCCAAATAGACCCTAGTGTTTAGTGCCAATCCTAATGGTCCCAAGCTCCGACCTAAATAGATGGAGATTTAATTTTTTTCAAGAAAATAGTATCTTGGTAAAAGGGTTGAAAAGTAGCACCTTTTCCCCATATTTTGTACCGGAAAGAGTTATTGTAGCAGGTGAATCTTATTAAATGAAATATATAGACAATACAGAGACACAAATACACACATGATCTGTGTTCTGGATATCGCTGGTAGAGGAATAGGATCATCGTAATGCTCGTTGGAAAAGCCTCACCGAACGCGTCAAACACCCCAAGACAACACCCTCACAAATTAATAGGCACCTCCAGTTAACAAAACGCCCATCACTTCCCTCTCTTTACCTTCACAACAAATCACTACACTACCAAATCATCAAACACTCTCACTGCAGCAACAACAACAACAACAACAACAACAACAACTTCCCTCTCTCACTGCTTCTCTGCTAGTTATATCATCAGACAGTTGGGTTAGACACACAGAGAAAAAGAATCCCAATGCGCCTGTCCCAATCCTCACACCATTTTCCTTTTGGATTCTCTCTCCTCAACTAATTTAACCCATTTCTCTCTCTCTCTCTCTACATTCCTCCACCCCCAATGAAGAACACCAAATGTTGCAGTCTCTTTTCCCTTCAACTCTCCCATGGACGGAAACAGCAACGACGAGGTTAGAAGTGAGAGTGCTAGCCATGACATCTACAACGCGAACAAGAGTCCATTAAAAAGCGTGACTAGTAGCAGCACCACCGGAGACCAATCCCAATCCGACAAGATCAAGATGGTGAGGAAAAGGGCAGCTTCTGAGATGCAACTCCAAAGTGGTGGCGACCCTTTTTACAACCGTAGAACAGCACCATCCAAAACCAACAACAACTCTTTGGTTTGCTCTTACCTGGGCCTCCCACCACCCAGTATTAGTCATAATATTGACTCTGCAAATGTTCATAAAGCACATTCAACAAACCACGTCACCAACAACCACTCCACTATCACTCTCCCACCACCTTCCTGCATAAACCCAATTAGTGTGACATCAACCTCAGCCCAAATGGACTCTCTCTCTCCTCATCTTCATCAAGCAACTCCTCAAACCCAGTCCTCTCCTGCTCTCTGTGTTTTCTCCGGCTTGCCCTTGTTTCCCCCTTCCGAGAGAACCCGAAACCAACCCGCTCCACAACTACCCGCTCCCACATCTGTTGCTTCTCCATCTTCCTTTTCTTTTACTTCTGGTGCTAACTCTTCAATGGAGGAGACTGCGGCGGCGACCGCGTGGATCGATGGTATCATAAAAGATCTGATCCACAGCTCCACCCATGTTTCCATTCCTCAGCTTATCCAAAACGTGAGGGACATCATCCACCCTTGCAACCCTAATCTAGCCGCCCTTCTCGAGTACAGGCTCCGGTCCTTAACGGATCCGTCCCCCAATTATCCAGACAGACGAAGGGAGGTACCTCCTGCAGGGTTACATCAGCACCAGCAAGCACAGGTGCAAGGGTCTTCCGGACTTAAACTCTTTGTAGAGTCGGGTTTAAGCAACTTAGCTTACACAATTCCGGATTACAATGTTAGCCCCCAGTTCTCGAATTGGGGCCTAACATTGCCCACCACAACCACCACCGCCTCAGCCACGGGAAACACCCATCAATTACACACCAATCCCACTTGTGCATCCTCGGTTCCGCCCGAGCTGTCACTAAATCAAGTGCAGCAACAGGCTTCGGAACCTCGGCCTCAGATACAGCAACAACAGCAGCAGCAACAACAACAATCTAATCAATCTCCACCCGTTGAGGTAGCTACCGAAACAACAGAAACATCGGCAAAAGCAGCATTGATTAGAGACAAGAAAGAAGAAATTCGTCAGCAAAAGATCGACGAAGGACTTCACCTACTGACATTATTGTTGCAGTGTGCGGAGGCCGTGGCAGCAGACAACTTTGAGGAGGCAAACAGCATGCTACTCGAGATATCCGAGCTGTCAACGCCATTTGGGACATCAGTGCAGCGTGTGGCTGCATATTTCTCCGAAGCCATGTCCGCAAGACTGGTGGGCTCGTGCTTGGGCATCTACGCGGCGCTTCCCACAGTGCCGCACGCTCAGAAGGTGGCCTCGGCCTTTCAGGTGTTCAATGGGATCAGTCCTTTTGTGAAGTTTTCACATTTCACGGCCAATCAGGCAATTCAGGAGGCGTTTGAGAGGGAGGAGAGAGTGCACATCATAGACCTTGATATTATGCAAGGCCTGCAGTGGCCGGGCCTATTCCACATTCTGGCGTCGCGGCCTGGTGGGCCGCCACTCGTGCGGCTCACCGGGTTGGGCACGTCCATGGAAGCATTGGAGGCAACAGGGAAGCGTTTGTCTGATTTCGCGGAGAAATTGGGGCTTCCGTTTGAGTTTATTCCGGTGGCGGAGAAGGTTGGGAATTTGGATCCGGAGAGACTGAATGTGAGCAAGAGGGAGGCTGTTGCAGTGCATTGGTTGCAGCATTCGCTTTACGACGTCACCGGATCCGACACCAATACTTTGTGGCTCTTGCAGAGGTAATTCTAGCTCTATCTCAATATCCCTCCCTTTGTTTTTTTTTGCTTTCAAAGTTTCAACAAATTATGGAAAATGATACTTTGTATATTATATCTTTTATTTGTCTGTTGGTTATGTTTGAATGGCTTTGTCATTTTAAATTCCATATGCATTCATCCTTCATATGTTATATTGATGTCAAAGTTTATGAATGAACTGACAAATGAGTTCTCTATATACCAGAAAAATTTTTGGGGTAGAAAAAGAACACTAGGGGACTGAGAGATTTAAAATGAAGGAAAATGCTATCGAGCGGATGAGTTCCCATGAGGGCACTGCTCTAAAATAAATGGTTTTGAGTTTATACACAGTTGACACAAATTCAAATTTAATAATTTAGATTTGGGGTTTAATCAGTGATGCAATGATTGATTTGATAGTTTTATATGTTTGATTAACTTTGAATATAACTAAATAGGCAGAAATATAAGCCAAGTGTTTGCATCCAATCCAATTCAAGGTAGGACCACATCAATGCATCAATGGATGCAAATATTTTGACTCTCATACTTTCTGCTTATTTCATCATAGAATAACAAGTTGATGTGTTATTTTTTAAAATTTATGCATACCAATTAAAGGTTACAGTTGCACAATGATCTAAACCAAGTATATCTCCTACTCTATTTTGACATCCCTCTGATGGTCCCAATCTAGCACTAGTCGACCTTCAATAGACACATGTTTTTTCTTGAAAACTCTTAATTTCTCTTTTATTAAGTCGGTTTGAGAGTTTTCATGATTGTCTGTTGGCCGGAAGTACCAGGTTATTATATACTTTCTCCGGCCATTACATTTGCTTTCATCTTTACTAGATTTTCACTTGTAAATTCATTTAGTTGATTTACTACCATTTATTTTTATCAATTTGCTCTTGATATCCTAAGGGTACTAAGGATGCAAAAAATGGTTTCAGATTGGCACCAAAAGTGGTAACCGTGGTAGAGCAGGACCTGAGCCATGCAGATTCGTTCTTGGGAAGGTTTGTGGAGGCCATACACTACTACTCAGCACTGTTTGATTCATTAGGAGCGAGCTATGGGGAGGAGAGCGAGGAGAGGCATGTGGTGGAGCAGCAGCTGCTGTCGAGGGAGATCCGGAACGTGCTGGCAGTGGGAGGACCTTCCAGAACTGGTGAGGTGAAGTTCAACAACTGGAGGGAGAAGCTGCAGCAGTCTGGCTTCAAGGGTGTGTCTTTGGCAGGCAATGCCGCGGCTCAGGCCACCCTCCTTCTCGGGATGTTCCCCTCCGATGGGTACACTCTTGTGGAGGACAATGGCACTCTCAGGCTTGGTTGGAAGGACCTGTGCTTGCTCACTGCCTCCGCCTGGAGGCCGTTCCACACCACCACCACCCACCACTTCCCACACTCTGTGAACTAGTTGATGCTGCTTCAATGATGCACCATTCCACTTGGGGATTGGCTTCTTTTGTTGGCAGTTATATGGAGATGTGGAATGAGCTTTCAAGTTTCTTGTTTACAGATAAATTTTCCTTGGAGAATGATACTTAGACCTAAAATTCTAAATGACCATTTATATCCTTTGAACGAAGTGAATATTAGAATTTTAGGCCTAGAATCATTATCCATTTTCATTGGGTTCTTAGCTAGCCTGGACTGCAAAGCTCGATGGGAATTTGGTTGATATATATAGTAAAGGCATGTTTGGATGTCCCACTAAAATTTGGTGTTCTTGTTGACATTTAACTGCATTTTTTTTTCTTCTTGTTTTTATCACTATTATTTTCTTTTTTAAGTCAAAAAAAAAAAACATTATATAAGATGCAGTCGGTTTGATTTGGTTCGGTTTAGAAGATAAACGAATTAATTCTAGTTGCTCCAATTTTTGCTGGAACTGAATTTGAACCCATGAAACTACCTATATTGAACCAATCCAAACTATACATGAATGGTTTGGATCCATTTGATTCACCGAAAAACATAATCCAATAATAGTTAAAGTTAGCTTAAACCAAGTCCTACAAGTTTCACGACTTGAATAAATTTCTCTAAAGTTGCCAATTTGAGGTTGCATTTTTATCTTCTAAAATTTGTTAATAAGTCAACAAAAACATTTTTTTATTTTTTTTTTCCCTGGACATATCAATAAGAACTAGATACTATTTAATTGATATGGTTTGAACCTTTGATCTCTACTTGGTACCACTAGGCCACTGGCTTGTTGATATATATATATATATATATATATATATATATATATATATATTGAAAGTAGTGTAGTCTCCTCCAATTAACTGAAAAAGCATAAGAACATAAAAAGAGCATGGCAATAAAATGAGAAATTATTTTCCAACTTATTAAGTTGAAAATAAAAATGAGACAATTTATGAAAACTTGATGCATGTCACAAAAAAAAAACTTTGATAGGCCTTATTACATCAACCGTATTGAACGAATTTTGTCTTGTCAAATTACCTCAAATTTTAAAGTGTTTGGGCGCGCACTTAACCTAGGTACTTAAAATTGAATAATATAATTGAGCACGAATGAAATTAACCAAACTTGGTATGATCCTAATCTATTGAGTCCCCTTTTTATTCAAAAAATCTATGGTATGTTGAAAAATAAATAAAAAAAATTATTAACGAGTATCTTAAAAGAAATTCATGATGTATACTGTTGCATTTTAGTGCAAAGATCCTTATTGGTAGACAGTCATAATCATTCACTGTAGGACCATGTGGACTTGTTGGAAAAAAAACAGAAATAACAATAAATGCGAAAATAACCTTTTTCCCCCACTCTGTCTAATAATCATCCTATTTTAATCGCCCCAGGTATGAATTTATCATAAAAGTACCTCGTTCTAATACTCCCTCGTTCTAATGCAACACAGTTGAATACTTTGATAATTGTAACTCACAAAAATACCCAACTATTTCAGTTATAATTTGTTAATCCTGATTTTACTTCAGTTATAATTTGTAAATCCTGATTTTACTTTTGCTCGAACAAAATGTCCCGACTCCTGAAGCTAGTTTAAGAACATAAAATTAGTACCTATGCAACGAAACATCATATATTGACCAAGATTCTAAATCAGACCAACTCACTCTCTCCTATGTCCACTACCATCTCAATGTTGTCATCACTATTCTAGAGTGAACCCAGGGAGATTAAATTTGAATTGATACAGAAAGTAAAGATGAATCTGTCTATTATTCTTCTCACCGCCCTGGGAAAACCAAAAAAAAAAAAAGACTTACAAAAAATAAAAATAAAATAAACTAAGAAAAAAAAAGAAGAAGAAAATTGACATGCTAAAGGGAATCAAACATACGTTTCTCACCCAAAAATCATTAATATAATGAATAGCCATTGATCTTCCTGGAAAAACACATGCAGATACGCTTTCCGTGTATACACAAATTCATGGCTCCACTTCCCTTGCACGATGCTAAACAATAAAGCAGAGAACCGAGTTCTTCCTCTGTCCCTGCATTGTCCAATTAATTCATGTCAACCATCACCGTCCTCCAGGCCTATCATCAGCTGCAACCCATCACTAGAACTATCTCCCTTCTGTCTTGCCTAAAAGTGGAAAAAAATATTCTTCCATTTCATTGCAAGCCATAGCTCAAGAAAAAAAAATTCTTCTGCACCTAGAAATCGGACATCACATTATGTGCATCATAGGTTTCCCACAAACGCCATAAATGAAAACTGGATCGTAACTCTCTATGGATTTATGTTGCAATCGCTCAGGAACTGATTTTCTAGATTCAGAAACTTCTTCCAGTAGCCTCTATATTTTGGAATGCCCAGCTCAAGCCAAGGTTTCATGTTCCCGTTAAAATGCAACACTGCGGCTTTCTTAATTGCATTTACGTCCAGGCCGTAATCATGACCTAATCCTGATAATACCCAGGCATCATCAAGAGCATGAACCAAGCCTTGAAAAGTGAGAAAGCTTGCACGCAGTGTAACAGCTTCAGATAATACCTTCCCTGTGCTCAACCGCTGGTGTACATTAGAAAACAAAAGCAAAAGTCAGAAAACTTAATTGGCTCTGCAGTGACGTAGTTGTATATACTATTAATGCGATGTTTGGTAGCATGAAAATGGTGGCATTGGAATTGGAGAAAAACTACCACTTGAATGGAATGCTTCACAGAATAAATGGGATTATTACAAATAGAAAACCAAAATACATCTCATCAAAGAGCAATATTTAGCTCCATGGAGGAACAAGATCAACTAGAAATCGGTAGAAAGATCAAAAAAAAAAAAAAAGTTGTGAAATATAAAAAAGTAAAAAATAAAACCCAGGTCACTATCACCATGCAGAAGCAGTGAAAATGTCACCTCCGTTAATCACGATTTATAACAAAAGTAGCCCTATATAAAAGCTCATATTAAAGATTTTGTAATCTTGCTCACCAATTCTTTTTCTTTTCTTAAAAAAAAAAAAAGGGACCAAACTCCATAATTACACACACACACACACACACACACACGCAAAAAATTCCATGTCAAACCCTCAAACTACTGGATACTCCCAGCTTAAATGCAATTAAAGAAATTGAGAAATGTCAGGTTCAATAAATCATCACTCACCTCTTGCACCAACCTCCGAAAGGTTTTCGTAAGATCTCGCTCCCTCCACCTGACCAGATCGACAACATTGAGCCCAGACATCCAAACACAAGAATTTCCATCCAAACTTTTCTCGCCCAAATAATTTGTCAGCAGACCCAACTTCACAGCACAGGACTGCATGGCACCAATCACTTTTTCCTTCATGTTAAGGCTCCATAAGGTTGACAAATCTCGTTGGATAACAACATCATCATCCAGAACAACAACTTTATTCAAAGTCGGGAATACTTTAGGAAGGAGATAATGTGAATTAGAAAAAACAGATATATATTCTGTTCTTCGGCTCATAGATGGTTTATCATTGCCAAAGGAAACACGAAATTCCTCAGGCAATGACAGATGTAACGGAGTTGCATTATCATGGTCCTTCAAATTGAGATCTTCAATGTTCAACACTTGAACTGTTGCTTCCCTGTATGTATTTCTGAAGAACCATAACTTCATGGCAAAGTAATTCTGTCCATCCGTTAGCACATGAAAAACTTGATTCCCACTTTCCTGAAATATTAAAACCAATCAGTTCCATGAACAAACTACAGCAAATTTAAAATTTAGATTAATTAATATACATAAGAGGATGCATGGAATATACCTCTGCATGCATTACGGTTGAGTTAATTACTACAGAAGATGCGAGTAAATTGCTGGAGAATATAACATAGTGGTGCAATGCTGGATTCAAATATTTCTCAGCAAGTGATTCATCCATATCTAATGAAGGAGATTTAAAATATTCCACAGTCAGTCGCATCAACAGACAGTGTAGACCTTTTGGCATGGTTTGGACAGCAAGTTGGTAGAGAAAGGCACTCTGCTTCATGTGGAAGCTAGCTTCATCCTCCGTCAGATCAACTATTTGTCTCAATTTCTTGTCGACATTATTACAATCCACAGGAAATGATTTTGCTCTGGCTATGACATCCTCCATTTTGCGTAGCTTTTTCTCAATCCTAACGGAATAGGCAAAATCATGCTCAGTTTTCTAACGGTGACTAATAAAATTGGGCTACTTCAATGAGAAAATAAAACCATAGAAAAGAAAAAATAAATTACTATCATAGCAACAAAATAGGGTTTTATGCTAATGGCATGAAGAATGTAAGCACTGCGAGAAAGTGGAGCATGAGTTCAGTCTGTTCGTTGAACATAGCTAACCACGGCCAAAAAGGAAATAGATAGCTAACAAAAGTTAGCTTATTGACTATTCTGCTAACAATAGCAGCAAGATATATGCTGAAACACTGGAATGCATTGAATTGTTACTGCGCTGGAGTGCTCAAGAACAAAAAATCATCAGCAATAGATGGGAATTTACAAGTAAACATAGACCAAAATGCACTAGAAGTCTAGAACTGATAAGTAATTTGGTCTGAGTTGAAGATGCCAAAGGAATAATACCGAAGGCCAAAGAACATGGCATATGACTTTACATAGATAGGAGAAGATGGAATCATGTAGCCAAGAAAATAAGGCTTGTCAAGTTGGAATAAATTGACTTAATTGGACTGATATAGTTAGGGCATGTTCAATAAAAATCAGCATTGCAGCAGAAAATATGTGAAATATTTAAAATAAGATGGCTACAAGGGCAACAAAAGAAGCACAAGAACATGGGTCACGGATTTAGGACGAAGGGAGAAACATCATCCCCTGTCATGTAACAAAAGATTGACCCTAGATAGCACAAGCCAGAAAAGAATAAGTCCTAAAAGTGACCCCAAAAAATTGGAAATGATTTTTATTTAACATGCTTAAGTTCCAACTACCTACCTCTAAACATTTTTGATTGGCAAGCGCATGGTTTATACCATACATTTATGTACCAGAATCATAAATTCAGACAAAGGCAGGCCTTGAGCAGTAAGACTACATATGTTACAATATATAAAATGTATGAAAGAAAGAATTGCGAGTCAAAAAACTTGCCAATGGACCATGTTATGAATGCACCAGGAAAACCTAGGCCACATAAAAGAAACATGCATAGGCAGTACAGCTAAAAATATAATACAACATGACCTATGTAGTGAAAGAATTTGTTGATGGTCCCCATTATGAAAAGGCTACAGTAAAAACATTTGTATAGGCTTAAAGTACAGAAATTACATTCAACTAAACAAACATATGCATAAAGAAATGTGATATTTGAACTTAGCAAGCAGATCCACAGGCAATTAGCAAACACTTTGCTGCACCAGAGGAAGCATTTAAAATTCTTATAGCGCAGGCCTATGGATGGATATTAGGAAATCATAAAGTCATCATCACTTACTGTGGTGGGAGATCTTTATCTGTTGTAGCTTCGCTGAGAATACGTTCAAACTCCTGAATATTTTGCTTCATTTCACGTGATAGTTTGTCATGTGCTGCAAGCTTTGCAATACTAGGAAAGTAAGCCCGAGCCACATATAACAGGTCCTTCATCTTCTTCACTAAAGCATCTTTCATTTTTTCCCTATGTTCACGACGCCATAAGCAGTAGCTCCCAAATTTCATCTCGCACGATTTTTCACTGTCATCAACACCTTTAATTTCTTTAGCAACTTCAACTTTACCGGTTGTAGTGCTCTGCAACAAATTTTGAATACAAAGTAAGTGGAGATTCGATCGCATGATGGCAAAATTCAGTAAATCATTCATACATTTTCTCTGGGAAGTTGTTTTGGCACATTAACAATCACTGGAAAACCTGTAAGTAATTTCAAAAAAGGGAAAAAGAAACACGTGAGCTTCAATTGTTAAGAAGGAAAGGACTATGACAACAATTTCCAAAAGAAGGGGAACTATGTTCTATTAACCAAGCAATGCATCCCTACCACTGGTTTTATTTTCAGGCTCAGCTTCCTCAAAGGAACCACTTTGAAAATCCTGATCAAAGTACATACAACACAATGAGAAAAACAGGGTCATAACATTATTTTAGATGAGAATTAACAAAATCCACATCCTAGTTTCTGATACAAGTATTTTTAGCATACAAATAATAATATAAAAAATATGAAAGCAAAAGGGCTAAAAGTGTATGATGATGACAATTCACAAAGAAAAAATGCCGACTGAAAATGGATGAGTAGACATCAATAAGGTGACAACTAAAAAGTCTAGTGCACCCACATCAGACATTAATGGGAATACTTGCTTTCCTATAGAAGTCAACAAAAGAGACCCCCATCAAATTCCTGAATGTTGGAAAAATTAGAATAAACTTGACTCTGCATACTGCTCCAAAAGAAAATATTAACCCTAAATATACTTGGGAAGAACATGTAAAAGCCCCTCCTATGGAAGTCAACAAAAGAGATCCCCAATCAAATCCCTGAATATTGGAAAAATTAGAATAAAAACGGCTCCGCATACTGCTCCAGAAGAAAATATTAGGGCTCGAAATAAAGAACATGTAAAAGCCTAAAGCAACAACAAAAACATTTAGAGGCCAAAATATGAAGCTCGTGCATTTGGAAGCAACCCAATAGCTTTCAATATTTATAAGCTAAGAGAATAAAAACGACTTAATAAAGAATAAGGAAGGAACCAAGTTTTTGGTTTTTTAACAAAGAAAAAGCAAACTCATCTACAGGGGTATGAACTTTAAAGAGCAGCGAGCGAAAGGATAGGCATCATACGAGTAGCACTCGATAATGTCGATATAGTAGCTTTCTTCTTCCTTAATTTGTTTGTTTTTATTTTTATTCATATATATTTTTTTGGGAAATACATAACTTAAACATAGTAACCTTAGTGTGAACACAAATCTGTTTCAAAGCTGACGATGACACATAATCCATAGGGGAGCTCAGTTTATAAGAAGACATATAACCAACAGGCAAATATCTTAGGGCAAGCAACTAGAAGTGGAAGAAAGAGAAAACAAGTACAAACAAACCAAATAGAAACAAATAAACGCTTCAAAGGTTGAGAATATACATATAGAGCATAGGAGAGCATCTTAAGAAGCACACACACTTTCAAGGATCCATTTCCATGTTGGACGTGCTTCAGACACAGACATTTTTCAAACACTCCCAAACATACGTGCAACACATCTTCGACATTTCCATTATTTGAAAATAAATTTCTTAATTTCACACATATGGTCAACACTTCTTAAACACATCCAAACAGGTGACTAATGAATCTTACATGTCGGATATAACTTTTCTTTAGCATGGAAATAAACTATTATTGTAACTTGTAAAAACAATCAAGTTAAAGGTTTTGATAAAAGTTATATTAAGTTTGACATTCCATGGAAGGGAGTGATATAGAAGGAGAGAAATCATCATTTCATGTATATAATATACAAGTTACAAATATCATGTAGCTATTGTAAAGTACAAATTTCTCATATATAAAGTAATTTTTGTATGAAATATATATATATATATATATATTTGTCATGTCCTCGCAATATCTGTTTCCTACATTTTTAAGATATGTTGTGTCACTGTTCATGACACATTTTATGTCAGTATCCATGTTTCTTAGAGAGCCTCCCATCACGAGAAGGAAATCTGTTAATTACACCTTCAAGTAATAAAGATTAAGCTGCAACCACTCGATTTAAATTTTATCTACCTCTGAAGAGATTTATGTGGCCTAACCCAAGTGAGCCATGCAAACGGCTGCTCTAACCCAAGCCAGTAGAACTTTAATTACGTAGATCTGTGGGCTAGCTTTTGCATGTATAAAGCAATGATCAAGCTTTAGAGACCAGTGGACTTTGTTCAAGCTCAGCTCTAAGAAGATCAAGCTTGATTCAGTTCCGCTTGATTAGACACCGATTTTGGTATAAAGCGGATTTTCAGAGATTAAATCAAAAAAGAATCTTTCGATTCAGACAACATAGCAGCAATTGACTTTTTGACCTCAAATAGAGCTGACATGCCAGTCTTACATTCTATAGAATCATGCGGCATTAAGAGAATAAACTTAAACTTCTAATAGATTATCCTAGCTGTTATAGTCTCTAAATAAATTTGTATACTTTTCACATCTCCAACCTTTTTCAACATCAATTAAAAGCAGTTGGGGTAGAAACTTGTTGAGTTGAGAATAAAAACAATTAAGTTATCCATGTTTACTAGATGACAGAAGGATTTAATCAATAGAAGAATGATTTGTGCCGTCACAAATTAACTTTAATTTTTTTGGTAGTATATCACACACACCATTTATATAGATTTTAAGATTCAAGGGTATTTATTGATTTAAGATTACAAAACAAGGACCGTTGTAGTGGCCCATGGGTCTAATTATAATTAAGTTATCCTATTGGATTTTTCTGGGGAGTCCTGGTTCATCGAGAATGGTCTTTAGTAGTCAAAGTTTCTACATTACTTCCAATCCTTAGTCCTTGTAAGAGTGGAAGCTAGGAAGCACAAACACTTCTCCTAGGAGTTCAGTGGACGTATCGGAAACGTATCCCATAAACGTCATGCACGAGGGACAGCTGGACACGCGTCCAACACGGCTAAAAGTATCCTAAAATTCGAATATCTTATCTTGGTTGGGAACAACATGGACACCACGGGGAAACGTTTAGGACACAGTATGATAGTATTATTATTATTATTTATATTTTTAAGAATGGGATTCCAATGCAATTTAAAAATATATTACAGAATAATTACAAAAATAATATAAACTTTACAAAACAATAAACCTCCATTTAGCTCTGAGCTCCAAATTAGTGATTTGATTCATGATAATGTGGATAAAATGAGTAAAAATCAATTTTTTGTATGTATAATAATTATGCTATGATCAATTTCAGGTACACCTTCAAAATTTAATCCTGTATGGAGAAACTGAAGGGTGGGCAAGGATGCCAAAGAAGTAAATACAACACTTCATCAGAAGCCTAGAACCATAGGGGAATGTTAGCTTTAGACCTGAGGATGAGACTTTTAGAATAGTTCCTTCTACCTCTACTGCTGTAGCCAATCCTGCCATTGTATAGCAATGGCAACACTACTGCCTCCTAAAGGGTGCTATAACATGATTGTGACTATGGAATTATAACTGATGTTTGAGACTTCGTAGAAGAAACTGAATCTAAATTGTCAACTCAACAATTAAATTTCGTGGAACATGCCATCTATTGCTTGCTTTAGAACAAGGACACAAGACGTGTACCAATATAACTTTGCTAGAATCAAATGGGAATGTCAACTTTAGACCTCAGGACAAGACTTATAAAAAGATTAAATACACTAGAACTACTGAAAAGAATGTGAGCTTAGTTTTTTCTTCTACTACTGCTTTAGCCATTCACCCATTGCTATCACAATGGAGCAACTATTGCTTCCTCAAAAGTGGTACAACATTATGCTATCTATGGAGTAATAACTGATATTTAAGACTCTGTAGGAAATCAGATTCTAAATTTTTAGTTTGACAGTAATATTGAACATTTATACTGAGTGTGCTTCTCATCATGTGTGCCAAAAATTTGGGTCAAGTATTATTTACTGTAAATTCCACAATAATATGCCAATATTTGAGTTTTATTCATATTTATTAGATTTTAGTGGTGAAAGGTATTAATTTGTAAATTTGCCCATCCGGGATTGTTATAACAGTCCACTAGTCTTACTTTTGGATCAAATCAAGTTACTAGGGTTTTTTTGTGATCTTTCATAGGTGTATAAAACTCATAATGGTGAAAGTCATGGTCCTAGTAATAGGAGGATATGTCTGGCAACCTATAAATTTTATATGTATATACATTTATAGATATATATTCCTATAAAATGGAGCTGAGTTATGATAAGTGAAGCTTATATTATTAGAGGTGATATTCTTCATATTTGGTAAATTCATTAACCTACAACTAGACTTTAATGATGTGTCTTTTGAACTGTAAAACTCCCAAGTCCATAATCTCAATCATTCCATCTACAGCTCATTCAATCCAAAAAGGAAAAGAAATTGAGTTTGCTTTTCACGGCCCAAGAACAGCCCCCTATTTCAATTTTCAAACATCATCCACCATGCCTAAATGAACTGTAAACTTTTCCCCCTCTTCTTGGCCTTCAATTCAATGTCCAAATCAACTCAACAAACCATTACCCCAACTATTTGGAGTCAGGTATATAAATTATGTTTGCCATTCCACTCCAAGGTCATACCACAGTTAAACCACATATGCCCTTCATTTAACCACATGATATCATTCATTTCTTAACTGTCTCAGTCCATTTTAGTTTCAGTCTTCCCCTTCCCCAAGACTTTCTCAATAAGAACCATGTCGCTTTTCATAGTTAATGCAGTTATAGGGCATCTTTGCACATTGCGAAGCCATCTTAAATGACCTCCTCTTATTTTATCTCCAATCAGTTCTACTTCAGCCATCTAACGTATCTAATCATTTCTAGTATCATACTTTTATCTTGTCGCGCACCCTCTCAACATAAGCACTTCTGCCTCATTCATCTATGAATATGTTGTTCATTGTCCCATGAAGCATGGATGGTCTAATAATTGTTTTGTAATATTTATCTTCCAATTTTAGAGTTATATGCAATCACACAACATGTCAAAAGCAGTCCTCCCATTTAGTGGTGGTTACTAATTTGTCGTGGTGTTTGACTGGTAAATCTAGGTGGCAAAATTGGTGCTGCTCTGTCAATTTTGGGGCCAATATTCACAAGGTCAAATTGGTTCAGATGAAAATTTGTTTTGTGATGAACTAAGTAGATTAGACTCTGGACCCAATGAGTTTAGGACTCAGTTTCACAAAGAGGCCCGATAAATTTCTACTGTAGTAACGAGCTACGATTGTGGACTTTCAAAAAATGTTGGATACCATTGTCAAGATTTCAGTTACGTTTGGACAATATGAAGGAAGTTCTAAGAGTGTCCTCTATTATTATGAATCTATGATATTCTCTTGGGCAGACCTCAACATGTTGATCGATGTACAGTTCAACACCATACTTATTCAAAGCCAATAGCTCATGGAGATCTTTCAATTCAATGGTACTTTTATGTGCCAATGCAGACACTCTTGAGGGTTACTCGTCATGGAGATCCACCACACTCATATTTTGCTTGAAGACTGGGTTCAAGTTCGTCGCTAAACTTTGTCCCAATTGAAGAAATGGTTCTGTAGCAACAATTTGAGTTAGGGATTGTGCTCGCAAATATTTTTTTCTTTAGGTTTCTATTTCCTTGCATAAATATATATTAAGTTTCCTAGATTCTAAGCACTATAATTTGAGCTAGGTAGAAGTTTTTTCTTGATTTACAAAATGCGTAGTAATAGCTTATGATCTTTCTGTTGTAGAATTTGTGCCCTGATTCTTTAGAAAATTGAATGGAGCAATATTTGAGGAGAGGGTCCAAGGTTGGTAGAAGGGTCATTAGGTAATGGCTACATCGGTTATGTCTTGGCACACAAGATCAAGTTGCTAAAGGAAGACTTGGAAGATTTGGAACAAGGAGGTATCTGTAGGATCTAAGTTACTAGGAAGATTTATAAGTTCGATGGCAAAGAGAGGGGAAGAAGGCCTGTTGGAGGAGTTGGTACCTAAAAGGTAGGAGGAAGGGTGGGGTGGGGGTGGTGGTGGGTGGGTTGTTCAGTAAGAGTTGGTTCAGTGTACTGTGATATTAAAAATGTAGTCAATATGTTGAGTATACCAATTAAAGATCACAGGTTGATGGCTTAGATCTCAACTCTCTTGAGGAGGTAACCAAGGAGTGGTTGGAATACCCCCCTTCTAATAGAAGAGGAATTAATAACTTTGAAAAGTTTGAGAGGGAATAAAGCACTCAGGCCCGAAGGGGTGGCTCCAGAAGTGCTAAGGGCTGGTCATGGAGAGTGTTCTGCAGGATCTGAATCACTTTCATAATAAAAAGTTTTGAACGCCTCATTTATAGGCTTGATTAAAAGAAAGGAGAGCAATAGACTTGAAGCCAATCAGCTTGGTAGGAAAAATCTATAGCTAAGATATACTGAGGCATAAAGCCACAAATTGGTTTCAAGAGCAGTTGCCAGGTTGTCAAAATTTCAGATGCGGTTTTTAAAAGACGAGTGTGTACATTTTAAGCTTAAAAGCAGTAAAGTTGGAGTGATCTGCAAGTTAGATATTGTAAAGCCATAAGATCATGTTCATTAGGATTTCCAAAATATTTGTTTTGGGCCTACGTGGATTGAGGCTTGTCTAGTTGTATGCTATGGGACAAATGCATATCAAATAAACTAGAAGGAAAATTCTATACAAAGGTCCTTAGGTCAGCTATATTGTATTTCACAGAGTGTTGGGCGTTGAAAAGGAAAGAAGAACAACACATCCATGTACTGGAAATAAGGATGCTGAGATAGAATGTAGGAGTAATTAAATGAGAGAAGATTAGCAATGAACGTGTGAGGAAAAACTAGGAATAACACCTATTAATGATAAAATTTCAAAAAAGTAAACTTAAATGGTATGGTCATATACAACGTAGACCCGAAGATGCTCCAGTTAGACAAGGAAAATTTGTTTCCCTAGAAGGTAAGCGAAAAAGAGGACGACCACACTTTACATGGGATGAAATAATTAAAAATGACTTTAAAAAATTAAATCAAAGATGAGACATGGTGTATAATATGATTGCATGGAAGAAGAGAATTCATGTGTCCAACTCCATCCATAGAGCATAAAGGCATGGATGACGACAATGATGATGAATGACACATCAGTTGTTTATTTGTAAGTTTGAGATATCTCAAGCAAAGGGTCCTTTGTTTATCATTCTTTTCAATTTGGTAATGGAGGCACTGGTAGGATGTCAACGACAGGTAAAGCACATAATTATGTCAAGAGGTTTTAAGGAAGGCAAACTTGAGGGATATTAAGTCTCTTTACTACCACTTGTTTTGAATGTGATACCATAATTATTTGTGGAGCAAAGCAAGAGATGTAACTATGATGTTGTGGCCCGAATTTGGTGCCGGGTCGCGTTACGACTCGACGACCCGTTAGATGAGCTTTGTGTTGGCCCTAATTACTATCTTGTAGCCCAATATATAAGGGCGTTTAAGGTTTGGAGTGGTGTAAGAGAGAGACTCTGAAATTCGTAGAAACAGAGTGGGGCTAAAAACTTGTAATCTCCGATTTTACACATAGTGAAGACTTTCGCCGCCGTGGATGTAGGTTGTTGTCGAACCACGTAAAAATTTTTGTATTCTTTGTGTGGTGTGTTTACTTTTCTGTCATGATTCTTGATTCTATCTTGGGTTCGATGCGTTTGTCATATCAGTACCAATATCTGGGGTGCATCTATTCTTTGTAGCCGTGTCCAATTGAGAGTAAATTTAGGGCAGACTAAGTTGATTCCCATGTGGTTTATTGGCTAGTCTAGGTGGTTTCAATCTATTGATATCCTACAGTAAATATGTAGAATCAACAAACCTCCATATGACAATCTCTTGATGGCATAATGTTGCAAAAATTGCTCAAAGCTCAATGTCAAGGTCATCCAAATAAAGAAAAGCTCTCAAGTTACTAGACTTTACAAATCTCTGGGTGCATTGAACAAATAAAGTAGAAAATTACCATCAAACAACCAGCCTGTGAGTTAAATAATAAAAGTACCTAAAGCCATACAATCCAATAATTTGCTGGATAACCACGAGAAGTGAAAACTCATTACTATCCTCGAGCTCCTTCAAGATGGAATACAATCGAAAAAGTACAGGATCATGGTTCTCCAGATTTCGTGCTACATGAAGCCACATAATCAAATGTCTCATTGATTCTCCTAAGAAATAATAGGATATAGGTTCCTTAAAACAGAATCCAAATTGCTTCACCGGCAACCATGGTTGTGGTCTGCTAATACTCCAAGAAATTCAATTTAGTAATCTGAATCACAAGTTCAAACTACAAAATTTTTGAACTTGGTCACCAATGCTTCCAAAATCTCAATTTTCAAAAACATAACATTGATGTTACTACTGATCAACAATATAAACACCAATACTTTAGCAGGAACATAGAAGTACAAGAAACAAACTGCCCTCTAAGATTCCAAGACCTTTATTCTATAATAAGGACCAGCCTACGGCAAAGTCACCTTTTTAAAAGCAAAAAAAAAAGGTCCCATCTGAGAGAAGCTTTCACAGAACAAACAGAAATTAGGCAACGGAAGCACTGCCCACTTCCTCTCACACAAGTTAAGCAATAAATATAATAAAATACTATTCTCAATAAGTTAACAGTGCAAGAAGTTGAGTCTTAACCATCAAAGCAGTAGGCAATGAACCTTTGGAAGAGTTGGTCTGAATCTGTGTAAAAGGTCATCTACTTTTGTTGATTTGTCCTGCTACAAAAATTAATAAATCAATTACAAATTAGTATGCATACATATAAATAAAGTACCAGATTATATCTCAATGGTCCTAAGAATTAAATGAGAAATCCCTTGTTATACTTATAAAATAAAATAAAATGAGAAATGACAGCAAAAAGAAAAAGGTCCCTCTGCTTCTGCTGATCAGGAGACATAAAGCATACAACATCGCCAAAAATTCAAATCCAGTTTCAAAAACAAAACACATTACCTCTGACTGATTCCGGCGGTTATTGCCATCGTGATGATCATAAACTCTAATATCATCCTAGTTCCCACCGGAAAGGCAGAAAAAAAAAAGGTAGAATTAAAAAATAATCATTAATAAATGAAAATATAAAAATCACATAATTGGCACTAAATTGATAAATGCCTTCAAACCCTTACTGAAGTTGAACTATGTTGTTCATTTGTGTATCCTGCAGAATATATATAAAGAAGTAGTCGTTAGACGAATTCAGTTTCAACAACAATATTATAAATAAATAAGTGAAATTTTTTAGTACTAAAAATAAAAATAAAAAATTTAGATATAAAATTCAGAGTTCACGTCAAGAAATATCAGGAAAAGGAACTACGACCAGGTACAAATAAGGAGACAATGAATACTACATCACCCCACGTCATAATATATGATGAAGAAACCCAACCATTAACAGGAGATCAGAAGCGTAATTAAGGATCACATTATCCATATATAAAGGCAAATTTTGTGATAAGTCCAAATGGTAAAGGCAAAATGAAGTAGTACATTATTCGCACCAGAATGCACATCACAAACAAATATAACCAATTTATGGATGAAACCACACTAAATGTGCTTAAACACATCACAATCTCAAGTGCAGATCTGAAAATAGTAGAAGAAGAGCATTGCGAATTAGCCTAATTTGGCAATTAAAGACGAAACGACAATAAATGAACACAGCAAAATCGAATAAACACAGTAGATTTTCTTATACACATCAAAATCTCTACTCTCGATCTGAAAATAGTACAAGAAGTGCATTGCAAACTGAAGATACTAACAGATCTAAACAAACAAACACTATATTATATATTTACATATATATATATAGAGAGAGAGAGTATAAATTGTAATACCGGATGCAGAGAGAAGGCCGTTATGGAGGCCGAGCAAGCAAGCGAGGGGAACGAGCATGGAAAGGAAAACGAGGCCGAGCACAGCAATCACGAGTCCTTTCCATCGCCGCTTCGCCGGAAGAGTGTAAGACGAACCCTTCATTTCGTCTCCCTCACTCTTCCTTTTCCTTCCTTCTTCACGCTACGATACTACTATTTTCCTCTCCTTTTCCTTTCCCTTTCCCTTTTGCTTTCTCTTATTCCTTTTCCTTTTCCTTTTCCTTGGAACAATCGCAACCAGAATTATGAGATAAAAGTCCAATCTACATTATTCAAAAACTCAGAGAGAGAGAGAGCACTGAGACAGACTCTTCTCCTTTGCTTGTGTTATTCCTTCGAATCACAGTCGCATTCTAGAGAGAGAAAGAGATGGAGAGAGAGAATTCGCAAGTGAAATCAGCAGATCTAATGGTCTTCAATCAGATCGAGTTTATACAGCCGACATTCACATGTTGGTTGGACAACTTCTATGAAAAATTATTTATAATGGTAACTAAATAAATAAATGCAAATATTTTATATATATATTTATTTATTTATACTTTATAGTTACTATATATTGTAACTTCAAATTAATAATAGTAAGAAAAGATTCTATGTTATCACCTGTAATTTTCTTGCGACAGGCCACTAATCGATTATTATTACTTTCAAGTTGATTTGTTTGAATAAAACTGTATTCTAATCTTTAAAATGAACGCTCCAAAGCCCAATCCCAAATAAGTGTCCATTCCTATAAATGGATATCAAAAAATGAGTGTCATTTGAGAAATCAATATATATATATATATATATATATATATATATATATATTTCAAATTAGTCAAGAAGTTTAGTATAGCTGTGTCTCATGCAGCCTTTTCCAAATTGGTCCATTTACACTTTTGATCAGAAAAAAGGGCACCAAAACATTAAAAAAAAAAAAAACTGTGAGTCCATTCATTTCTTTCAGCCTTGTCCAGTGCAAGATTACCTCTGCAGTCAGTTGGGCTTCAAGTGTAAGTTGGTTCTTGATGTGCAATCACAGGATAAATCGCTCTAAAGAATACTCGGTACTACTTTATTATTTTTGAGGAATAATATATACTACTAGTTCCATTACTAATTTCAAGATGGGCTTGACCTAAGCTGTTCATTTGTTGATATGATATAGGCCCAATTACAATTCCCACCCATGATCTCTATTTCTACTGCTGGCTTGTTTTGAAAGGAATTCTTAAATAAAATTTAAATAACACAGTTGCAATTAGGAGGAATTTTTATTTTTTTTTCATTGTCTGAAAAAACACACACCACCAACAACTCAGGACTTTTACCATTCATCAGAGAAGATACCTTTAGACTACAAAATCCTTAATCATTCAAGAAATTAACCAGATGATTGATTGAGTAATATATTATTCGGCAGTTAAATAATTTTAGGCTCAACTTAAAAAGCACTCTAATCTTTAAAGTAGCCTAGTCTAGCATCCTTCGTTAATTCACTATTCAATCCGATTTCCTTCTTAGGAAGGAATTCTTCATTTCCCAAAGTATACTTAAATTAAAAATGTTTTGAATTATATTTTTTATTGGTTTTATTTTTCAAGTTCTCTTTGGAAGGTCAAGGCCCCACCCCCGTTGAAAGAAACTTTTCTCCCAAGACATATTAAGTTATCACAATAAATATATTTAAGTGTCTGTACATTCAATATCAATGATTTCTTACCTAGCTAAACAGGGGATCCAAAAACTATATAAAAATTAAAATAATGAGGTATTGATTGATCATATGACAATTCAAAACAACTTTTGTTGCCCATCCTTCCACTCAAAATTTCTTCCACGAACATTTCTTAAATCCTCTATTCAAGCAGCTTTTCTGAACAATTGTCAGTTGTACCCCTAGTAATAATGCAGCAACATTCACAATACTGTGTGTCTCTGGGCGCGCGTGCGTTTTATAGGCACTGTCATCATATTAAAAAACAAAAAACAATAAAAAAAAAAAAAAAAAAAAAATGTAGTAACCAAATTCACGCTTTTTACTAATAATTTTCCCACATTTTACGGACAATCAAACTTTGTAATCGTCTTTGTACCATATAGTCACCAAATTCTCCAAGAAAACAATTCAAAAATGTCAAAAAGGAAAACCTACAAAACATCATATAATATATATTTATATATGCTACTTGGGTTCCACTTTTGCGGAAAGAGTGTATCCACCACTGTACTCAAAGGCATCACTATCATTGGCATTGCCATTGCCATTGACATCCTTTTTAGGCAGAGTTGACTCATTGTAAGGATGTCGAGGAGCACCACCCTTAGCAGAGTTAAATTCAGTGGCAGATGAGGATGCTGATGTTGAGTTTGTGTTCAGCCCATCATTTTGTAGAATGGTCTCTAGTGTCTTCACTATTTCACTCATTGTTGGACGGTCCGGAGCTGATTCTTCCACACATTGCATTGCCAAGTCCAGGAACCTCCCGAACCCGACAAGATATGTGGTGCTTCTAAGGGATGGATCCATTATCTCCCTCAACCCGTAGTGCTCTTCGTCAGTCCTGTCCATTACCAGTCTCACCTCGCGGACGATGTACTTTCCCTTCTCGATTGGTTGCCTAGCAGTTATCAGTTCAAGCATCACTACACCGAAGCTGTACACGTCGCTCTTGTCAGTCAATTGTTGTGTCATGTAGTACTCGGGATCCAGATAACCCTGCAACCAGATGGCATCGTTAGGATTTTGATTCATGAATCAGTTTTGAGTTTTGACAGAACCTAGCTACGTAGATTTTTGAAGGCAATTCCACACTTTTCTTTCTTTTTTGGAGAAAGGAAGTTTCTACTTGATCTATCAGAGTTGGCTGGACAAAATCGAAGGTCATTTTCACCAACTTAATGTTGGAAAACAAACATTACTATAAAGTAAAAATAAAAATAAAATAAAAACTGCAGCAGGTTACTGGTTATGAATCAGGATATATGTGAAGTGGCACATATTTTTTTTAAAAAAAATGATATGTAAATAAGGTAAAAAATAAAAATAAAAAATTATATAATCATGAAGAATAGATGAGCTGTTTCTCTATAACATTAAAGCTCATGTTTGTATTGCAGAGGAGATTAAAAGAGAGGATATAATTGAACATGTGCCTGCCCCCCCCACCCCCCCCTAATATAATAATAATAAATAAATAAATAAAACTAGAATAATCATCATTTGAGGGAAGACTAGCCGGCCTGTTTGTCTACAACTGTTGGCAATGAATATTTTTATTTAGAAATCATCATTTCTTCCTCGAGTGATAGATTAATATTTAACTTAGTAACGAATATTTGGCCTACAAGGAAGGCATCAAAAGTTGGAGTTAGGCCTCAGCCAAAAGAAGAGTAAATAATCAGACCAAGAGAAAACTCCCTTGTCCATAAAGCTTCCAAAAGAAAAGGCCAAACACCCTTGTTCCCAAAGCTTCCAAAAGAAAGGGCCACTTTTATACCCTACCTTGTTCAATTAATTTTTCAAAACTAGAACATCAATTTAACCATTTTGCCAATTCAGAAGCTGGAGAAGATGTCAACTAACAAGGAACTCAAGAAAATGCCAACTAACTACCATGGGCTATATAGCCTATTGGGGTGCAGTAATACTTTGCAAAAATGAGAGAGGTTTGGGGTGCGGAAATACTCACCAGTGTGCCTTTAACTTGAGTTGAAACATGCCCTTTTGTGCTGTCTGACACTAGCTTAGACAAGCCAAAATCGGCAACCTTTGCCGTTAGGTGTTCATCCAGCAGAATATTAGTGGACTTGACATCTCTGTGAATTATAGGGGGGTCGGCAAGATCATGAAGGTAAGCTAATCCTCTGGCTGAACCAAGAGCAATGCGAAGTCTCCTCTTCCAATCTAGATGAATACCGGATTTCCCTGCAACTTACAAATAGTTGTTATAATACAAAATGGACTACACAAGATAAATCCAACTAGTTTGCCCACTAGTGATTTACAATTTTACAATAACATCATATACAATTTTATCTATGTACATTTCACGGAAAGGTCTAGAAAAAGATTGTAAGTCTTTACATTTGGGGCACGATCAATTGAACTAGATAAGCAGAAAAGTTTTGGATGGTTTTAATATTTCAACTTTTCTTTCTATCAAAGAGAGAGAATTTCCATCAAAACAACTAAATTCATTTTGGTGGTTAATTTTTCTTAGATAATGAAGTAATGGTCTTAAGTTTCTCTACATGGTTTCTGTTTGGATACTCCTTTTCTGTTTAATTCTTTCTGGAGATTCACAAGAACTAATACCATTGCAGGTCATTGGTCATTTAATGACACACTGGACCACTTAAAACCTTGTGTTTTGCATTGTGTTCATTTCCATTTATTTCGTATTTGCTTCTCACAAGCTGAATAAACTCTTACTCATTGCTTATTATGTGAAATGATAAATAGTTGAAATGGAATTGAGCTCACCTGACAAGCTCTCCCTTAGTGTTCCATTAGGCATAAACTCGTATACCAACATTTGTTCTCCTTGTTCAAAACAGAAACCCACAAGGCCAACAAGGTTCTTGTGATGAACTCGTGAAAGCAACTCGATTTCAGTCTTGAACTCAACCCCACCTTGCATGGAACCTTGCTGAGCTCTTTTGATAGCTACCAATTGTCCTCCAAGCAGAGCCCCTCTATAGACCTAAAAACACAAAATAAATGAGTTTCAACTAGAGCTAGACTTGCTAGACTTCCTAGGTTTCAACCAAGGACTTTGAACGGCTTACCTTGCCATAGCCTCCAGAACCAATCTCATTACTGTCAGAGAAATGACTCGTGCACTTCTTGAGTTCATCATAAGAGAACCATCTAGCTCCCTTTAGTTGTGGTGCCCCACCACTGTCTTTCCCACTTGGAGCCCAAGATGCTGAAACACATAAGAAAACAAAATGAGCTAACAAGGCATTTTGCAAAACCTACCAAATGCCTCCAACTTTAATTTTTCAATAGATTGCGTGACTTACCAAATGGTTTACTTAATCCAATAGCTCTTTCAGCACGTTTCTTTTGCCGAACAGCATATATTCCTAGTCCGATAAGAACCAGGACCAGTAAAGCACAGCCAATTGCTATCCCAACAATTACACTTGTGCTAATAGAATGTCCTCCAACTGAAATTTTTTTTTGTATTCTTTTAGGTAATCCATTCAATAGTAAGGAAGTTTTTTAAATTGCATTTATAAGCACATTTTGAATTCATTTACCTGGGAAAACATAAGGAGATGCGATAAAATAGTAGGGTCCAAACTCTGGAGGAGGTTTGAAAGTTTGATTACTCAAATCAAACCCAATCCTCTGTACCTCAGTCCTATTAAAATATTTTCCTGAGGATGGAAAGAGTCCCAACTGCACCTGAAGATAGTCATCAATATTGAAGAAGGGGTTGTCCAGAGCAACTGAACCAGGAGTGAGGTTTAATTTCTCCCAGAGTGTCATTTCTAGAGAGTGGAATATATTGGCATTAGACAACTCCCTGAAGGAGGGCGCTCTGAAAAACAATGTCCCTTCTAATGGAAAAGCACAAAAACAGCTCTGAGGGTTGAGCTTCTGATCCGAGGGACATGATTTTCCCCTGCAATTTGCTACGCTGGTAGAATAAGTCTGTGTGTTTTGCGCCTGAATCTGGCAGTAATCTGTATTCTTGATACCAGTCGAGCACACTGGATTATTGACAAGTCTGTGGTACAGAAATCGACAAATATGAATGATGATCAGGGGAAAATGTACATTAATTATCGTTGACACAGACATTTAGAAGAAATGAAAACTCACATTAATGTATTTTTGTATCCAGAATCCAGTGTCACTTTAGATATCTCGTTATTCTGCAGATCAACAAGTTGCAGTTGCTCACTTATGCTGTTACCCATGTTCAGTGTATCATTGAATGCATTGTTCCTCAGTTTACTGTAAAAAAATAATTATATTTGAATCAATAGGTAAACCAAGCTTCTTTTCTAAATATATTGTTAACTTTTCATGGTCTTCTAAATTGATCTGTGAACTCACACTTGTTGTATCTGTGGGAAACTGAAAAGCTTTGGTGGCAGAAGCCCCTGAAGTGACCCATATTCTATAACCCTGAGCACCATAGAAAACTTCAACATCAGATAGGTCAATTGTTTAAGGAAGTTTTTCACATTTTGCAATGTCAATTACTGAAAACTCACAGAGTGGTGAGGGATTGTAAGGTTGAGAACCAAGCTGGAGCTTCTGATTGAACAAAGGAGTTGTTGCTTAAATCCCTGTGAAGAGAAAATAGCAAAGGCATCATGTTCAATGATACAACTTTTTAGTAGATAAAACTGGATTGCATAAACTTCCATACAGTCTTCTTACACATAATTGAGTGAATTCATCCCAGCTAAGTCGGGTAATGGTCCAGACAGGTTATTGTGTGCTAAATTCCTACAAGAGAAACATATGACCATAAAGGAAGACATCTTATCAATCATCATAACTTTAAAATGAACAACTGATATTAAATCAGGTAGAACAGAAATACCCACAATTCATTGAGATTAGTGAGGTTGTTCAAGTTTGATGGTACTTCCCCATTCAGGTAATTTCTATCGAGCCGACTGTTGCAGGTTGAAAGCGTGCATGCCAAACAAGATGAGAGAAAAATGATAATTGTTTAAAAAAAAATAAAGAACTATCTAAAAGGATGAAATGAACAAGATGGTGGAGTCTACTCACAGAACCTCAAGAGTCTGGACAAGTCCTAATGTAGGTGGAATATTCCCAATTAATTGATTTCCATCGAACAGTCTGTCATTGCAGAACCACAAGCAGTCAGAATGAGAATAATCAAAATAATAAACTGGTGGGTGAATATCAACTTACATGTGTATTAGTACCATATCGGAGCTGAAAAGACTGAGTGGAATTTTTCCTGAAAGCTGGTTCTTATTGAAATGGCTGCAGGTTTTTAGGTATCAAGCAGTTGTTTGTGCAATAAATAATTTACACACGGAACGCAAGTCGGAAATTTAAAATGCACTCACAAGTGTTTGGCTTTTTTAAGGAGGTCCAAGCCGGGCGCGGTAATAGTTGAAACAGGGAGAGTTCCAGACAACTGATTCTCTGCCAGGTCTAGCCAGTAGAGGTTGGAGAGTTTTCCCAGAGAAGGTGGTATGTCACCAGTGAAGCCGTTTGAGTTCAGAGCCCTGTCAAGGCAAGTAGGAATGGAAAAAACTCAGTAAAGAATATTAAGCTATCAATTCCATTATGAAGGGAGATAATTGTTATAGCAATTCTTACAAAAAGGTTAGTTCCGCGAGATTGCCCAATTCACTTGGGATATTACCACTGAAGCCACAGCCTGCTAGGATTCTGGGAGAGAAAAGAAAATTTACTGATATAAATGTGTGTTTATTGGAAAAGAATTCCAGTCCAAAACAGGATGGATAAAAGAAATAGTCGGTTTATTGGATCTCACAATATGTTCAGATTTGTCAGATCTCCTAACCGGGGAGAGAGGGAACCTGTGAGGCCTCGATTAAATGAAAGGTCCCTGCAATAAAATAATTTCAAACTTAAGCTTAATGAACAACAACAGACCTTAATTGAAAATGTGTGGGAATGAGAGCATCATCAATATATGTTTCGGGATGTTCCACAAATCTTTTTTCTTTGCTTTACAGTAGAGACACCCGAATTATGTTCTTATTTTATTTCAATGCTGGTGCATATGGTACTTTTGGTGGTATGCTGCAACTAAATGACTAGTCTTTCACTTTTGATAAAAGGATAAGAAGACTCACAACACTTTCAATTCAGTGAGCCCCCCAATGTCACCACCGCTTAGCTTACCTACGAGTCCCATTGTTGATAGTCCCCTGAAAAAATCAGTAGGCTTGCAACAGTCATCCAGTGGAATAGGCATTTAGTGAAGGACGAAAAAAAGACTAATCAACCATGACCAGGTGAAATACTAGAAAACTACTCACAGAGCAGTCACCCTTGAGTTGTTGCACATGACTCCTTCCCAAGCTCTTCCACAAGGGTCATCTGACTTATCCCAGCTTGGTGGTGTGTGTTGCCATTGATCCTTTAAAGAGCGGAGTACCACAGCTGCATCATATCACCATTTTAAGCTTATTAAATTTCATACTGCGTTTGTCTCAAGAAGAGCAGTATATCAAGGAATTTAAGTAGCCAGAAGAGGCTTTATCTCAAGTAAGGGTAGTATATCGGTGTGTGTTCATCTTAATTTGCAGCCATGTATGTAGCAGAAATGTTTTCTAATATGAAGTCAAGGACTTGGACTCTTGAAAATTGTGCAGGCCATGCACTTATGGAAAGCTAGCAAATGCTAGTATCAAGAATATAAGAAGCTTAAAGAGAGTGTCTATAAATACCCATCAGCAAAATACCAATACCCATTAGAAAAAAATATATATATATCCTAAACTTGTAAATTTGGCTGATAACAGTTTCTATCCTTGATTACATTTGTGAAAAATGATCATGAATCACTATTTATCAAACCAGTCAAGCAACTTCAAATTTAATTTTACCTGCATTGTTGTACAAGTACCTACTATCAAGTCTAAACATTATTAAGTGAAACTAAGGAGATGGAGTGTGAATTGTGAATTAAAAAACAAATATTTATTGAAGATTCAGTCTGAACTCTGAAGACACCTACCGAAGGCTTAAGAAAGTGCAAAATGTGGTTGTAATAACAAATTTTTGTAGACAATTCAGTCTGAACCCTGAAAAATGCATCTGAAAGGCTTGAGAAACATTGGCATGGAATTAAAAATTGCTTTGGATTATTAGAACCAGAAAGAGGAAGGATTTTTTACCTTGATTTTGAAAATCTCTAATCACAGCCTGAACATAAGGTATCAAAATGCAAAATCTACAAATACTTGCCATGCTAAGAATGAAATTTCTCTTTATGATCAATTAAAGCAAGCAAAATTTCATGGTCATGTGATCAAGAGAAAATCGCACTTCACATTTTCCTTTCCAATTTTTCATTTTAATTACTACATAGCAATTGAAATCCTCTTTTCAATACAAAATTTTATGCCTGAAGCTACCCATGAAACATCAAAATGTGCAATTCATAAGCCAGGTGATCATGCCACAAGTGAAATTTGCGAATGTAACAGAAAACATGAAACCGTATTAGAAATTAAATCAAACACTTGATGAACACATGATAATTTAAACATATACTATTTAAATATGTTTAAGAGCATATGTAGCTCACCATCGCGAGAGTCCGTATAGGCGGAGATCACATGAATTCCTGCACAGCAGACCAGAAACCAGAGCAGCCTAATGGCTAACATTGCTGCAACAACACAACTCCAGTGCACACAAACACACACAAAAACACACACACCACACCACAATTCTTAGAGATGAATAACTTGTGTGTGTTGGGTTGTGGTTATTAGTGCCAATAGATGACTAACCACCCTTTTGTCTCTCTAGTGGGTGGGTGAGGAAGGCAGGAACTAATGATTTCTAGTCTCAAAATATCAACACAAAGCAAAGAGAAAAGACTACCCTTTTTGCTACTTTTATTGATTACCCTTGTCTTAGAAGCCAATCAATCTATCCATCTCACTACTACTCCTCCTCCTAAAATTCACCATTGACATAATTATCTTCTATCATCATCATCTTCTTATCTCCAAACTTTCTCTCTCATCCCATGTGTGTTTCTCTCTCTACAAGGTCTAACTCATACACAAGGAAGAATATTGATTTTCTGATTGGGATGCTTTACCCATTCCTATTGCCGGCCCAAACATGATGATCACAAAAAAGACAGACAGATAGACAGTCTTGGGTTAAAACCAAAGACCGTTTCTTTAAGTAGTGAGTGTTTCGTGAAGAAATACAGAGACACGATTCTGTATTAAGAAATGGGCACTATCATTTTTTTTTCCCAATCTTTAACTTCATCGCTCGCTAAATGAATAATCATGTAACTAAGAACAAACAATTCAATGTTCACTGTCTACAGCTACGTGTAGTGGGTGGAAGTTGGACCCACACACAGTCGGTCTCTCTCGTGCATGTATATTTTATACCACCTCCGTTTAAAAAATAATGTTAGGTTCGAAAACTGCGTCAGTTTAAATTGTCAGAGTCACGTTTTTTTAAAAGTGAAACTTTTTATGAAACAAAGGGAATAAATATTTAATCTCGTACATGTATTTTGTATAAATATTTAAACCCAATTCTGCGTCCAATTTGATCCTAATGTCAAGTTGATCCATACAAAAACGACATTACATTCGCATTGAAATCCATCGGTTTCCCACCTGCTTCCATCTTGAAAATGTAATTAATTTTTAAGGGCATATCTAATTTTAGAAAAACTATTGGATACTCAGAATAACAATTATCGAATATCTCGATTAATCAAAAAACTTTATTTCTTATGAGACAAGCTATTGCTAAATACTCATAATTAATTATCACGGTACATGGATATACGGATTGCCCGAGAGTTCACCAACCACTAGCCGAGGATATAATATAATTTTTCTAATTTCAACTCTTTATCTTATAAATTACATAAAATTTTGAGAAGAAAATTTTTAAAATTAGATTGATGATTTTAATGAGCTCTATGTTTGATTAATCAATTTATTTTTAATCATAGTAATGTTATTTTTAAATTTTTGACTTATTCTCGTTTGTTTGATTAATAACTTTATTTTTAATCATAAAATGTTATTTTGACTTCATTTGAAATTCATTATAAATTTTTATCCGCTCAAAAATGGGCAGAAGAAATGAAAGAAGACATGTGGACTATTATAAAAATTTTATCCTAAATAATACAAGTTTTAAATTACAGTACTATATTTATAAATTACAATATTATAAATATTATTCAATATAATGATAAAAACAATTAAAACTTTTTATTTATTTATTTTTTAACAACATAGTAAATTATGAACTTATTTTCTTTTCTTTATCCATCTAATCTAACAAAAAGATGAAAATACATACGAAATCTCTTCAACCTAACAAAAAGATGAAAATACATACGAAATCTCTTCCTATTTCTTCCATCCAATTTTTTTATTTCTACCTAATAGAGCATTAATGAGAAACATTGGGTATATAGCCATTTTCATGTAATAAGTACTACTCTTAATCGTCTTAATGTACCATAATTGTTGGTAATTATAGAATTCTTTAATGATGTTAAAGTTATTTAAATTTAATTTAATTTTTGGGTCACCCATCCCTCTCTCTCTATTCACATCACTATAAATGTTTGACTTTTGGTTTTAAAAAGTAATTATCAAAGGCAAAGCCTGGAGAGCTCGCCATACGTGGGCATATAATTCAATGTGACCATGAGTGAGATTTATAAATGCAACTTGACCATGAGTGAGATTTATAAATGCAACTTGCTTATCTTTGTTAGTCACCAAAGAAAGTACAAAAGTAAAGAATGCACATCCAGGTTAATCCATTTTTCTATTTTCTGATTTGTGTTTACGTTGAGTCAAAAGAATGGGAAAAAACCTAGTAGAGCTGAAAAAGAGTTGGGCACAAATAATATAAAAAAAGGGAGCTATATATATATATATATATATATATATATATATATATATTAAAAATAAAAACCTTACCAAATTACATTAATATTTTTCTGACATTTTTTTTTTTTTTTTTTTTTTTTTGCACTTCATTATATTGTATACAATCTTTCTATATAACCAATAACATGGTTACCGTGGTTTTATCTACGTGCTTTTTTATTTATTTAGATAGCTTAAATAGGTTTGAAGATTTAATACTGTACAACAGAAATCTAGTTGTTTACAAATATATAGTTCAATTTCTCTTAAACAATAATTTTGAACAACTCAAGATTGAAATCAAAATTGATTAAACAAGTAAAAGAGTCCAACAACCTTATAATAATTTCGATCTCAAGCTCAAACTTGTACTCAAATTCGAGATTTAAATCTAAATTAATTAAACAAGTAAAAGAATCGAGTTCGATCTAGAACACGCTTGTATGAACTTAAATTGAGATCGAAATTAAACAGTCAAAAACTCAACTCGGCTTGTTTGCAATCACCCTTTTATTAAAACACAAATAGAGCATAGGGCGCAAGGAGATACCGTAGTCAAGTATGGCCAGCAACTAGGGTGATGGGTGGTGATTGCGATGGGTGCGGGTGCAGAAGTGGGGACTGGGATCTTCTCTGAGTGACATTTAGTCCACATTGAAGAGTGGTTATTGCAATTTAATAGACATGATCCTCTTCAGAAGCGAAGGTTGGTGGCTTCATTTGGTAAGAGAGAGAGGAGAGAGAGAGAGTTCAAAAGAAATCATCTTGTACCACCACCCACCATCACCAGGTTTGGGTTGGTAACCATTTGCTATATTATATATCAATGAACAGATATATATATATATATATATATATATATTTTAAGAAAAACTGAATTTCTAAAATTAATTTGTGATCATGCTTAGGAGTTAGAGTAATAAGAATGAGTGTAATCAATCAATTTTTTAACATTTAAGGACCTGAGCTCACATGAGAGTATTACTATTGTGATAGCTTTACAATAAATAATATCATTTATAAAAAATTAACCATTTCAATTTCTCAATCAAACTTAACGAATTTTTGAAAATTTTATATTTCGTGAGCCAAAACTAGTATCAGAGTGATACTATACATCTATGTATCTCGTAATGTTATGATAAATTAGTCTGCTGTGTAATTAAACGCACTTTATTAAAATCATATATTAATAATGAAGATATAATAATAGAAGATCTGCTTTTTTGGCAAGTAAAAATATAAGATATTTAAATAAATAAATATGAAACTCTGTAGATGTCATTTAATCACTCTTCCAAATTTCCAATTTAATTTAATATCGGGATATCAGTAATAAAATAGTACAAAATAATAATTTTTGTAATATATAAAAACAAATTATATTTAAATGCTACTGTATTTTTTACAGTGATTTTTTAAATGTCTTCAGTGAAGCTTCCGTTTGATTCATGGATTTTAAGAGGAAAAGAGAGACAGAAAAGGACACAGAAACCAAGTGTATGCTGCAGTGATCAATTGGTTTGCGATTTTCAGTTCAGACATCTGCAGAAATGGAATGGTAGGTAGAAATGTCCAGGATCTAAATGCCAGCCAGATACCAAGTCTTTAGGGTTTGAGCCATATTGGAAGCATGTGTGTGTAAGTACCAATTAAGAAAAATATATATATAAAGGCATTTCGACTTTTCACCTTGGTTGATTGCAAACTATACCACATCATATGAAAAAAGAAATAAAATTACAAAGTCAAGTAATTGTGATTCATTTAGTTGGTTTTTAGAACTCCACTTTATCTATGGTTGTATTTGGTTTTGGTACATCTTAAGTTTTAAGAGCTCCACCTACATTCATTCTGTGTATATCTTGCAAATATCAAACAACTTTTATGAACTATAACAACATTCATGACCATTAAAAAAAAATACATGGAAAACAATGAAACAAGATGAAGATCCAAAATCTTATTATGATCACAAAACATCTTACACAATGGCATTGAATTGACTAAGTTCTAAAATCTCTAACTTACCTAATAATCATAGGTGTGTTTAACATGCAATGCAGTTTCAATCTCCACACCTTTATTATCACAAAACAAACACTACACATAAGAAAATAAAACAAAGGTACAATGGAAGCACTCCTGGTTGCTCTGGAAAGCTAGAGCTCACAAACTTGACATCCATGGCACAATAAAAGTTTCTTCTGCTTTTCAGTACAAAAAGAACGAGGGGGTGGGATTATTTTCCTCAATGATGGTCTGGAAAACACCATCCAATCTACACTAATGACATTCACATTCTGACAGTGTTTCAAATTAATCTCCCTCAACCTTGTGCAATTTCTAATCACTTCCTTAACCCTTTCTGTTGTAACTCCTAAGCAACCCTCCAAGTCCAAATTCAGGAGCCCACAACATCTCTTCCCAATCATTGCCAGCCCTTCGGAATTGATTCCGGACCTTGCAGCTCGCAAAACCTCCAATTTGGGGAGTTCTGAACCCGTCCCAATATTCTTAATCCCCCCACAATCATCAATCCGCAGATGCCTAATCTCACAACAGCTCTTCAAAATTTCGGCAAGACCTCCTTCTGCAATACCCAAACAAGAGCTCAAATCAAGCAGCTCCAATCCAGGGCAGGCAGAAGCAATTCTTTTTAGACATTCATCATTCAGATGGGTACTCCCTGCGAAACTCAATGACTTGATTCGTGGGTTCTTCACAAAATCCATACTACAGTCTTCTTTCCGGAGATTTGTTCTCTCCATTTCAATATCTGTCAGTAAAGTACAGTTTTTTGCAAGGGTGAAGAAGGTTGAACTGGTTAGCTTAGTACATCCGTTGAGCTTTATAGTTATTAGCTTTTGGAGATACTGAGACAAATCACTTATGGCCTGATCAGTGAGAAAATCAACTTCCGAAAGAGCTAGGTAATCAAGAGAGTGATATGTATGCAGAAGCAATGAGATCCCACACAATGAAAAATTCAAGCAATCAAAGAGCCCGAAACTCTTTAATGGAATACAAGCTTTTGCTAATGAATAGAGAAATTTATCTGAAAGAAACACACCATAGAGATGAAGAGTACCTAAAGCAGTTGGATAACTAAGTGAATCTTCAAAAGATGGTGATCTAAGACGAGACCAAATACCACTCACTGATATTGAACTCAAATCAGGACTGTGACTCATAACGAAATGAATCCCATCTTGGGTTATGAATGAGCAGTCCAAAGCCTTAATTTCTCTCAGAAGAACACAGCTCGAGGACAGAGCTACAAGAGAGCGGTTGGTGATGAAATAATTCCCAGAAATATTGATTTTGCGCAAGTTGGAAAGTTTGCGAGACAAGACCTCAAAACCACTATCAGTCACATGGATTTCACTCGGATCATGAGGACGCAATTCAAGATTGAAATCAAAGTCATTGACAGGATAACTTATATCCAATTCTTCCAAACAAGGAAGTGAATATGCTATTACTCTCAATTCCACATCACGTAAAAGCGAAAGATTTGAACAATTCAAGAACTTCAAGCCCTTCATGTTCGAACCCAACCTTTTCAAACCCTCCAGTGGGAGACACTTTTGTTTCGAGACATTTAGGGTTTCGAGGTTCAAGTTAGACTGAGCAATCTCAATAATCACACGATTGAGATCGATATCGCCATCGTATTTACTCAAATCAATGGATTTGAGGTGTTTGAATCTGTGCAGGAGTTTAGAGATAGTACCGTGAATGAGAATAGTTGGGTCGACGATTGCTAAGCTGACCCGAAGCCGATTTGAGATGGAGAGGAATCGCTTGCACACCAGAGATAGGGCTTCGAAGTGAGAGTGGTGATTGAGTCGATTGAAAATCAATTCCCAGCATTCATCGGGCAAATCTACGCAAATCAACGCCATTTGTTGAACTGAATGGAAAGATTGATTAGAGAATTGAACGGTGAAATAGCAAAGAGTTGAATTGAGAGTTGAGGGAAATAGAAATTTACTTTGTGGATCTGACACTGTTTGGGAAGAAGGAAAATTCCTCAGAAGCTTCCGCTGGAGTAGTGACCCATATTCGAGTAAGGAGTCTGCTGAGTGATCACGATTTGGAAGACTTTTGGGTTATTTGAATTTGAATTTGAATTTGAATTGTTCTCTTTTTCTTTTTCTTTTTCTTTTTCGATTGAATCTCTCTCTTCAACATGTCTCTCTCTTCCTCCCTAATCCCCTAATTATAACCGTCGGATAACTGGTATGCGCGGTTTGGCTCCTGCGTAATAGAAAAGGAAGGAAAATCGAAGAATTCGGACAGGAGAAAAAGAAAATTGGGTTAATTTAATAATTTTAGTTGCACCGTCTCATGCTTATTCAAATATTTATTGAAACAGTTTTTAAAATTATTATTGTTTTGATTTAATTTTATTTTTTTGTCACGTTAAAAATATTCAAAAAATAATAATTTTATCCATAAATTTTTAATCAAATTCATACGCTTCCCAACCCAATTGAATCACTTGGGCATGGAACAAAAAAACCAAGGCCGTTGTGGTGGTTGATAAAAATGGGCTTGTTGATAAAAATGGGTTTTCTAAATTTAGGTTCCGTTTCTCAGTTATATGTTTAAATTTATCATTGATACTCACAAATTAGGGTTATATATATATATAACAACTTAGGTCTTGTATAAGTCAAATAGTCAATTAGTACTTTTTTACTTTATCAAACGTAACCATGGTTAATATTTATTACATTAATATTCAATTTACTATAGTTAATATTTGTTACATTAATATTCAATCTCTCTCCTCCTTAATCTCTTCCATCTTCCTTACCATCTTAACCACTTCTGTCATATTCACGCCATCTCAACCACTTCTGCCATATTCACACCATCTCAACCACTACGACCACAGCGGTCACTCTCTCTTTCTCCCTCTCTCTTCTTTTTGCACTTTGATTTATATAATTTTTATTTTTTTGCTCTCTTAATTTTTTTCCCTTGATGGCCTGACTATTGCTCTCTTATTTATTTATTATTATTATTTTTTTTTTGCTTTCTTAATTTTTTTCTTCGACTTATTATTCCACATTTTCGTGAATAATGGAGTCTCAAACAAAGCATATATTGCTTAATCCTGGCATGGAAACAATAAAAGGTCTCCAAATTTGGATTTTCTAAGACAAAAATAAGCAAAATCTCCATATTCTGATTCTTGCAATTTTCTCGTTTTCATTTCCATTTACGTTTTCACGCATTACAATTTCCTTTAAATTTTATGTCACAAATACAATTAAATATCCAATCTCATCATCCCAATTTTGGAAATAATTTATGGTATCGAAAAATCGTGTCCAAGTGATCAGTATCTCCTCTATGCTCTTCCGAGGGATATACTGGTGTAGGAATCAATTGACCTCCACCCACCTCCGTTGACCTAGAAGTAGATATGGGGAATGAAGCTTCGAAATTGAGGTGGCTAATGCTTCTTGTTATTTGGAAAAAGTCCAGAGTGAAGATATATATTTATTTTTTATATTGTGTTTGGAGGCAAAGGGTTTGTTTAATAGTGTTGACAAATGAAATTCTATTTTGAAAGAAAAAATAAAAAAATTGAAAGGACAGAATGGTGGCTGTGATGGTATGGATATGGCTGTAATGATTGAGATTGTAAGGAAGACGGAAGAGATTAAGGAGGAGAGAGATTGAATAAAGGTAACAAATATTAATTACCTTAAATTGAATATTAAGGTAACAAATATTAACTATGATTATAAAGTAAAAAAGTGCTAATTGACTATTTGATTTTTGGTCCATTAAAAAATTGTTCTTTTAGATTGAGAATCTGCCTATATATATATATATTGTATAATACATACAATGTATATAATCACAATTTTTAGTCTTCTCTTTGTCGTGGACGTTGCCACGACACTTACTATAATATATGAGAAAGGAAAACAACTTACTATAATATATGAGAAAGGAAAATGATATTTTTGACGACTTTCTTGTATCGGTAAAAAACTGATTCAATATATGGCTGAATGTTATTACTCACCACCGGCAGTGACACCTATTCATTCAATTTTTTTTTTTTTTTTTTTTTTTTTTTTTTTTTTTTTAACCTTTTTATTCATTCATCACTCATCACCATGGATAGAGAGAAAGACCTACTTCATGGGATGGCAAATTTGTTTCTGGGGGAGGTGTTAGCATGGTGATTGGGACTCCATAATTACATCATAACGTTTCTCAACCACTAAAAAAAAAATCAACCCCTTTTTAACAAGAATGTTCTTGTCCCTGTTATGTGGTTATGAGTGAGTACTACAAATAAAAGATGAAAATTGAATGTGTGTGTTTGGGATGATAGGAACAGAAGATGAATTTGAGTGTGTGTTTGGGATCGTATAAACAGAAGACGAATTTGAGTATTGTTGGGAGTTCTTCGACAGATCTTGCTGGATCACCGGTGGTTGGATTAATGAAACAACCACCGTGTTTTGTAACTAAAGTAGTTTTTTAAACCCCCAATCCGACGCCTTCACAAGATTTGACGGTGGAGAAAACAAAACTTGACAACGGTGATATTTGTAAACGTGGCAATCTAAATATAGAGTCGGTTATAACTCCGTTTTTTTAAGTCATGCTAAATAGCAGTACATGAAAATGTTAAGGACAGTCGCGCTCGCGCCGTCATTCACGTCGCTATTCTTATTGGTGTGTAGAATTGTAATTAATGCAGCTCTTTTAAGCCTTTTATCCGTTTCCTCAGTTCTCGCTTCTCACTTGATGACGTTTACATATATAGTGTGTGTGTATATATATGTATATATATATTCCTCTCCTTGTTCGATCCGTATGGCAATATATGTATATATAAATATATGCATATATATATATAAAACGTTATTTTTCTTTTCTTTTATTCATTTTTTTTTTCCTTGTTAGATTTGTACAGGTTACTGTACTTTTCTTTTCTGCTTTTTTCCTTGTTAGATCCGGTTGCCAAATTTATATATATACATGCAATCCTCTCAACCATGAATTCATATATATATATATATATATATATATATATATATATATAAAGGTTAAATGACAATTAAAAATAAAAGAGAAGAAAGAACACACTCACATATTAGAAAGAATATACTCACATATTGTTAGCTATTTATATATATATGAATTCATGGTTGAAAAGAAAAGTAGAGTAAAGTTATATATATATATATATATATATATATATATATATATATATATATATATATATATATATATATAATAGTTTTAATATTTCATCAAAAGTTGGAAACTTGTAATTAATGAAAGCATTAATTACAATTTCACTCACCAATAAGAATAGCAACTGTGAATGACAGTCGCCCTTATATATATTGAATTTATAAATTTTTACATGTATATATGAAAAAATTCATATAATACCACCCTAAAATTTTTATTTTCTAAAATTATTTCTTAAATTTTGTATTTCTTCTATTTTTTACTCTTTAAATTCGTTTAATTTCCTTTAAAAAAAAGTCAAAATTTTCCTTTTGAATCAAACTCCAATTTTTTTCCTTTCAAAATTCTCTCATTTTTCTTTCCTTTTTAATTTTGTTTTTTAACTATTTATCTTTTTAAAATTACTCATTGATTGACATATATTATTTTTAGTAATTTATTTTTATTTATTTTTTATGTCTTTTGATTTATAAAATCTATATTTATTATAGTGATTATTAAAATTTTTTTTTTCACTGTGCCATCCTTAAATTTAATTTTTGGCTTGGCCCCTGCCACTTGGACACCTGATAGTTGTAATAACTTGTATCATTGCGACTGCTTTAGCTGGTTTGTCTCATTCATTTTCCTTTGATTTTTTATTGTAGGGCTGCTGTAATTCCCAGAGGATATGGAGACGAAAAGAGATATACATACATACATACATACTCAGTGATAGGAGGAGGAGAGAGGGATTCAGTTTATAGGCATTTAGGTAATTAAGTAATTTTATGTGTGAAATAATTTTTTTATAAATTAACACGTCAAAAGAGTAATAATATCATTTTACATGCCAAAGTTACATATAATACTAATTTTTGAAAGTTGCTTCATTGATATTTGGCCAAAACTGAAAGGTGTAACTGAATTTTTTTATTTTATATTTTTGAATAAAATAACAATTAATAAGTACTTGCTCATTTTTATTTACTTTGAAAAGTAAATTATGTAAGCTGATGTATAAGGATAATTACAAAAGCGACCCTTGACCCAGTGGACAAGCCCAAAGGGAAGGAAAAGCAAAATGGATCAATGCATGGACTTATCTAGAGGATGGCCCAAGACAGAGACAGGCTAGGCCCAAGACAGAGACTGGCTAGGCCCAAGGTAGCCCAGGTCATTACACTAAAACACACAATCATTGCATCATATATCAGCAAAGAAGCAGCAGCTCCGGTTGCAGCATGACGAGGAATAATATGAAAGAAATTTCAAAGGTTGAAGATTTAATAATACTTCTTCAACTATCTCCAACCTCATTTTACGGATGGAGTCTGAATTATTTTTTCCATCTTTCCTATCATATTACATTTCTTCTTTTAAATTTAATATATTATTTCAAAGCAGGAAAGTCGAGAGTCGAGAGTTGAGAGTTCGAGTCCCTTATATCTTGCCAAAGTACTATATAAGTTTTAGTTGGTCTCTTCTTTGTGGATTGCTTTCTAGTGTGTGTGAGTTCTTATTAAAAAAATACGAAATTAATAATATTGATTTGAATGAGTGTTAAATAGACCTGGACCATTCAATAATTTTTTAAAATTTCACCTAGAATAGAGACAAAGTTTTAATCAGTCTTCTCTTTGTCGATTGCTTTCTACGTAAAGTTTTTATTAATTATCAATAAAAATCACGTTATACGTTTGGTAATATATTTTATAAAATATTTTTATACTTAAAAATATGTATAATATTTGGTAATAATTTGTTTAAAACATCTTTATTATTAATTTATTATATTAGACATACAATAATAAAAATATTGTACAATATTAACGGGAGTGATTCATTCACATGGTATCATTGTTCATTGTTGGTTCCCATGCCATGATTGTTGGTTACTGATTCTCCAAAAAAAAAAATGATTGTTGGTTACTGTGGCATGATTTCGGGTTATAAAACTAATTTAAATACACTGAAAATAATACGAGCAAATTAAGAAGTAAACCATGAAATCGATCAGAGAAAGAAGATATTCATGGAGAATACCTACCGTCAGAGGTGGATTTTCTTGCCAAGGTAACAACTCATATCA